ACTAACACTCATTGCTGACACTGATAATTTCACTATTCATACATATCTCAAAAATCAATACTCTAATTAATTCTTTTCGTTTCATGAGAGTTATTTTATTATTCACGAGCGATGTCAATACATACATAAATAGACTATTAAATAAAATTGATTATAGTAAGTGGTGTGTCTGCGCTTTTTCCATGAAAAAATGAACGGGATCCACTAATTTGATTTCTTCTCGAATTTTTTAGCGTTTAAAGATAATTTTGTGCATCCCATAAGGTACTCAATAGGTAAATACTAATTCAGACTACACAATGGTCACAAAAAAGAAACGAAAATTTTAGGTTACGAAAAACATGAAGGTGGCTACCTTTAATGTAATAACCATCGATAGTGATTTTTATACATTGGTTGATTTGATTTATTATATCACATATTTTGCTATTAATATTTAGATTCCACCTGCTCCACCGCGACCCGATTTCGATTCATCGCGTGCTAAATTACAAAAATTAAGTGACAGTGAAAGTATTCTTACAAAAGAAGAATATGATAAAATGAAACAAGAACTTGAAGCGTACGTTTAAAATACTAACTATTGCATATGTCTATATTGAATACACTGTTTTTGGTAATCTAGTGAATATTTAGCTATGTTTAAAAAGACTGTTTCAATGCATGAAGTATTTCTTCAACGTCTTGCTGCACATCCAATTTTACGTAGTGATAATAATTTTCGTGTGTTTCTTGAATATAAAGAAGATGTAAAATAAATTTAAAAATAAGAAATAAAAATTTTATTGAAATTTTTATTTTTCTAGTTAAGTGTTCGTGGAAAAAATGCTAAAGAACAAATTAGTGGTTTCTTTAAAACATTAACAAAAACAGCTGATGAAGTATTGTTAGCTAATCAAAAGGTAAATATCAAATGAGTGTATTTTTTTTTTGTTAATACAAAATAAAAGAGTCTTATTCTTTTAGGAAAATGATGAATTTTTTGAACGACAAAAACAATTTCTTTTAACTTATAATACAAAAATAAAAGATGCTACCAATGGTGCTGATAAATCAACTCGAGCACATAAAAGTAAAAATAAAATGTTTTCTGACGAGAGAATTTCGACAGGTGATAAATCACTCTTGAGACGAAAACCCCAACAAGACGCTGTGATTCATTCAGATGATTTTCAAAATTAAATATCGATGTTTGAGTTTAATTTTTACACAAATAGAATTTTCAATAACACTAGTTCATTGTAAAAGTATCAAATTTTCTAGTATCTTATATTCTCAGATATTAATATTGGAAATTCTTCTATGTGAAAAAATAAGTTTTATGCTTTAATGTTTATCTGAGAATACGCAATACTTACCTGGACTAATAAACTGTTTAAAAAAGAATTGAGAAGATGTTTCTTTGCCTACACCTTTCCCACATTGCCTGAATTATTTCCTTTCTTACCTTGTTTCAAAAACTATAAAAAAACGATATATCTTGAAGAGATTAAATGATATATACTCATCTGATTTAGACTTTTCATTGTTTTTAGAAGACATATTTTCTAGGATAATCATCATAAATTGATTAATGATGACGTTAGTTAGTTTTTTTCGATGAAGTGGATCCAAAGATTATAGGTTAAATACCATGCACTATTCCTAGCCTAATCAGAATTCGTCAATTAACTCCCCATAGTATCATACCGTCTCCTAATAGCACTATTCTTCAGAAACTAGCAAAGTCCTTTAGTGTAGAATAGATATACAGTCTTGTGATTCACCCTTCTAACCTAGAGATACAACAAATCTAGAATAAAATTGTGATTTGGAATCAAGGGTCTTGGAATTTAATTTGTATTTGGAGGATGAATTTGTTTTTAGACCTAATCCACATAGCTAGTTTGCAATTTGGTGACCATTATCGAAACGCAAACTATTTATATTATTTTTATCCAAGACCAAATTTCAAGACTTTGAATTTGTTATTTTCCTATCCTAGCTCATGCTTTTCTGTGAAATCGGTTTCATTCACTACATTTTTTTGTTAGATTGCTTGTCTCTTCCTTTTCTTTCGTTTCTATCTTTCAATTTATCATTATGTTTCCTGTAAGCACTTATTGTTACCATACAATAGAGCATAAACCGAAAAGAATACGAAATACTAGAAAATCTGATACTTTCACAATGAACTAGTCTTATCGTAAACTTTGGTTGTACAATATATGATTCAATCCGAACTTTAAAAAGTATATTTTATTATACGATTCACCTAAAATGATCATAATTCAAAAAGATAGATCGATGGATATAAATCTTTTCAAATCTCAATAGGACCTATATAATGTTGTAAGATTCATCTCAAAGAGCGATTTATCACGTGACAAAATTCATTCAGTAGATAAAGATTTATTTCAACTAAATTTATTTAGCTGTTGCTGATACATATATTAAATTATCAAGTGGTTTTAATACTTTAGCAACATCGGATAAAACGGATTTATCAAGGTAACAGAAAAAAAAAGGCTTCTAACAAGAAGAATTATTACTTCGTGTTTTAGATATCTTCTTTTGGTTGCTGACTTTTTTGAAAAAGCTCGAGTAAGATTATTCGTGTTTTTGGTTTGATTATTTTTTTTGTTGTTTTTAGAAACTAGAATCACGTGTTCAATCGGATATGGATCTTAAATTATCGGATACATTAAGATATTATATGCGTGATTCAAAAGCAGCACTTGATTTAATGTATCGTCGTTCACGTTGTTTAGCAGATTTTGAAACGGCAAATAAAAATTTAGATCGTGCAAGATTAAAAAATAAAGAAGTTCAACAAGCTGAAACAGCACAACAAAATGTCAAGCAAAAATTTGAAACGATTTCAGAAAAAGCTAAAGATGGTAAAAAATTATCTTTTTTTTTTTTATTTTAAATAAAATTTTCTTTTCTTTTTTTTCTAGAATTAAATGATTTTAAAACACGTAGAGTACAAATGTTTCGTAAAAATTTAATTGAATTAACTGAACTTCAAGTTAAACATGCTAAAGTAAATTATAAATTCATAAATATTGAATTATTTTTATTTTTATTTTATTGTTGTTTAGGCTCAAATTCAAATGATTAAAGGCGTTTTACAACAAACCGAAACGCTCTCATAATTATATATTAATGTTTCAAACTCTGTGATTTAATATATGAAAAAATATATCTTTTTTTTAGTGAATATATAATCCTTTGGTCGATTGTTTGTTTTTCTTCTGTATATTATTTATTGGTAATTTTCTTTATCGTAATTGTATTTTATTCATTCTCGTCAAATTGTTAAACATCGTTAGGTGATATATTTCTATTATTGAATATCTATTTATAAAAGAATAAAAAGTATAATTGTGCAACTTATAAATTGTTTTAATGAAATAGAAATTTGTATTTTTTTTTTCATTGATATAATTACAGAAATATATGTATAATATAAAAATTATTGAACAAGGATTTTTTGAGAATTTCCGAATCAATTTTTTTTATATAGAGACTTGATATTTGAATAATTGGAAAGAAACAAAGTAAGATGTGTTAATCTGTACGAAACTTTTTTTCTTGCGATTCTATCGAGTAAAAGTGATCAGGATTTTCAATGACGGTATCGACTATATCACTAATCTTCGATAGTACGAATATTAGAATAGTAACTAATGGGAATGGTCAAGTAATCAAGTTATACAAATACAAACTAATATATTAACACTCAAGTAGGGAATGTAAACATTTAATTCACATCGGGTATTCTATATATGTTAGATTGTGATAGAAAAACTAAACATGTGCATCCAGCAAGTATTATTCATGAACGGTATAATTTTGGTAACTTAATATAGTTTTTTTTCTATTTAGTCTGATCAGTCTATTAACAATTGAGATGTACTTAAAGAACAACAGCGGTAACAAAAAAACACCTGACTGTTGCTATTTGGATATATCGTCTTTCAATACTAAGTACAGTATAAACTGTCTATAGTGAATATCCTTCAAACTTTTCAAGAGTATCTGTCATAGAACTATATGATGATGCCCACTATAGGAAGGTTTATTTTCAGCTAAACAAAATAGATGGAACTTTGAAAGAATATACATCATACGCATGAAGGTGTCTACTATGAGAGGTTTTAATGTACATATGAATTATTTTATGAACTAGAGACACTAGATTTTTTTTTACATTTTCAATAATATGGATGGTAAAACAATGTTTCCTTCATAACTGAATAAATCTCTTTTTTTGTATATGAATGCTTGCGACATATGCACTTCTATAAAACAATGAATATTGTTTTCGTTATTTTGAAGATAATGATCTATAATAAACAAAAGACCATAGACTAAGACTCGAGTCGAATAGTGATGATTAGCTTGATCAGTTAAATCTATTGCATAGAATGTTATAATCAATAATCCAAAGAAATACGATATACGTTCAGTATCATTAGCCCCTTCTCGCTGAATTTGCTCAGCTAAACTCTAATCATCAACTGTTCCTTGTTCAGGATCGAATGTGTTTGCATCTACAAATATTTTATAAATCGCATTTTTTCTTCTTTGTACAGCGAGTACGAGGAGCAATACAATATTCTTTAAGATTAAAAAAGAATATCATTCAAACAGTTGTATATCTCACCCATTATATATTTCACGAGAAATGTTTTTCTTCTATACGTGACCCGCATATGAGCTTAGAAAGAGTGCGCTTAAAGAAATATTTAATGGACATTTTAATCAAGTGGAAATAGAAATACGATAGTCTAAGTCAATAAAAATTTTATTTTGAATATTTTTCGAATAATCTAACTTAATGATTATTTACAAGTTGAATATAAAGTTTAAATCAACTTCCTCTTGATGAATACATTCCAATAGTTCAATGAGTTTATGAGAGTCAATATCGTTACAATCCTTGATATTGAAACAAATAGAATTTTGAAGAAATATCCTTCTATCTATTTCATATTTTTGTTTTTTTTTGTAGAATGAAACGTCATTTAGAATCCAATGTCGATAATGAAGTTCATATCGAAAAGCAACGTGCCAAACTCAACGTTGTAGGTAGTTTTCTTTAATGTATCTCAAATTTTACAAGGAATAAATGACTTTTTTTTTAACCAATGAGCGAAAGGATATATCAAGCATTTCTACAAGATTTACATTTTTGTTTCCAAAATATTAATATATAAAAGAAACAAGATGAAACACTATTTCATGTATAAAACTAATTAAACTAGATCTGCACATAGTTCTCCATTGAATTTTTTGACTTATTCGATCTATCAAACCGTAACAGACGTTGCTGACATACAATCAAAGGCCGTATATCAACAACGGCATATTTATTCCTTATATCTCTGTTGCGGATGTCCTCGAGTAGCAGTATGCTAATCCTAATTTGTTTATAATATTATAATTCTATCAGAATGATACACAAAGAAAATGCTATTATTTATTATTCTCATCACAATTCTTATGATTTTAGGATGAAGAACGTTTAAATTTATTTAAAAATTGGCTCAATGAACACAATGTTATATGGGATAATATCGATATTCGTTCATCAATACTTTATAAAGGATTTTCTGTATATAGTACATCATCAGAAGAACTACCTAATATTCAAATTCCTACAATATTATTAATGTCAAATGAATCAGCAAAGAATAGTTCAACATTCGTTTTACCAACATTTGATATACTCGATCAAACTGATCAACATATTGATCGAGAAACACTTATTCTATCACTTTTTCTTTTACATGAACGTTTAAAAGGTATTCAATCTCATTGGTATCCATATATTCAACTTTTACCAACGACATTTACAACTCCATTATTTCATAAAGAAAATTATGTTGAAAATACATCGGTGTTTTATTTAACAGAAACAATGCGTCAATCAATGAGTGAAGTATGGGATCTTATTGGTTCAAGTACATTTCAATTAGAAGATTTTCTTTGGGCATATACAGCTATTACTAGTCGAGCTTTTAAATTAAATGAACTTGGTACTACACTTATTCCATTAGCTGATCTTGCAAATCATGTATCATTTGCACATGAAGCAAATCTATATTCAATGGGTATTAATAAAGAAACTGATAGATTTGTTTTAAAAGCAACAGAGAAGAAAATTTTAGATGGAGAAGAATTATGTTTAAAATATAATAATGAATTAGCTAATTGGCAATTATTACTTTATTATGGATTTACAATTGAGAATAATCCATTGGATTCGATTTTACTTGAATTAAAAATGGATTCAAATGATACTTATGAAATGGAAATAAAAAAAATGCTTTTACTTAATCTAAGTATGTTAAATTTTGTTTAATCAATTCAATGTTTTTTTTAACTATTGGTTCTTTTTTGTAATAGGTGAAGATTTGTGTTTAGAACATGAACTTAAAATAACCGAAAATGAACCAATTATAAGTGAAAATTTATTAGCTACTCTTCGTTTAATTGTTATGTCAAATGAAGAATTGGAGCAATTTAATATATCAAATTTAAATCAACTTCTTTCATCAATGGTTAGTGTCGATAATGAAGGACGAGTATTAAATAAACTTTTAATATTTCTTAATGAACTTAAAGACGTACCATATACAACAACATTAGAAGAAAACCTCAATCGATTTCAATCGAATCAATTAAATGATGATGAACGATATTCATTAATTTATTTAATTGGTCAAAAACAAATTTTAGACAATGCTCAACGTTGGATTGATAATGCTCTTTCTCAATTAAAATAAATAAAACATGTTTCTTAGATACATAATTCGAAGAATGGGACAGATCGTTACTAATGGGGATGTTCCCTAACTGATAAATCGCTTTGGAGTCGAAACTACATACATTATGTAGACTCAAATGAGCTATAAACATTCTGAAAATAGTTCGTGCTCTTAGCTTGTTGTTGCGGAGATATTGTTCTTTTACGATATTTTTGAGTGTGGGTTTGGATGTGTATGAGTGAACGGGAGGCTCGCATCTACAGCCACACCTTCATTGAATATTTGACGGAAGAGTAATTCGATAATTAAAAACGTTCTTGAATATTATCTAGATTTTGATATATAATTAGCTTTGTATTTGTAATTATATTTTTTCAATATCATATTGATAAAATATTTTGAATCACACGTAGATTTTCTTTTAATTTCGGAGATCAATCAATTTATTGTTCGATGTATTTTTCCTACGATTTCAATCTTTTACATCAAATAAACCACTGAAAGTCAATTTATTTATTGTCTTTGCTCTATATAGATTTAATTATAAAACAAAAACAATTTTCTTTCAAGAATATTATTCTTTATAATTTTCAAAAAATGAATATTCCTATTCAATCATTTTTAGTTTTTGTCCTTTTCATGATTTACTTTGTTGAAAATACAATTTGTGCTTGTTCATGTTGTTGAATACAAAATTTGCACGCCATCAATTGTAGACAGCTTTTTCAAGATCCATATAGTGATGATCGATGTCTTAATTCATATTGTTCACAATATTTTTCATGGTATGTGAACAATTTAGGAAGTTCTACACATGAATATAGTTCAAATACAAATACAATTCTTTTTTTGAAAAACCAATATTCAATCCGTATGAAAATATTCACAGGTGTTATCGTATTCTTTTTTTTCATGTTCATGAAGTACTTGAGTATCTTGGGACAAGATTCGAGATGTTTTGGGAAGCTCAGGTGCTTGAATTCTTGTTCAGACGCATATCAGAATGATCATAAATGAAATAATTTATAAAAAACATCACGGACTGCACAGATTAACAACAAAAGTCTGTTCCCCATTGCAAGCTAGCGATATTAATATTCTATTGAATCCGGTCATCTGTCACAATTGTAAAAACGATATTTGTGATGGGTGAAATTAATTTTAATTATATGTTATATGTGCTTTTTGTTTTTTTTTGATTCAATTTTACATTCAAAATGATATGACTCATAATAAAAATACATCACTGAAATAACAAAGTCTGTAATATGCAGTCTAAAAAGAAGCTCATGGTTAATTCCAATTTCCAGGAATGAATAATACAAGCTAAAGAATATTGTTGTAACGATGTAAATTGAATATCGATGATATGCAACTAAAAGTCATTTTTACACCTTCATTAGAACAAGTACAACTCCTCATTTCGTACTTGCTCATGCTGGGAAATTCATTTTACTGTGAAAAGTATATAGAAATGAAGTATATATGTTCGAGGTAGGATTGGGTCACGTCATTCATTTTATTACAATTATAACTATTCGTATATGTTTCATTGAATAACTTGAATATTAATAGTGATGGCTAGCGTTATAAGGTAGTTTTTTTCATTTCTTTTTCACTTCTAGAATATA